TCGTTTTCAACGTATATTTTCCGGTACGTATTTGAGATCTTCTGTTTTCCAAAGACTGCGCAATAACTCGTCTACGGTGTTTGCTTAGTTAAAGCCCCACTGTCCTACTTGTAGCTACTTGCGCCCTCTTTATAACAAACAATGCCTAATCGGTGACCATGATCCTCTTTTTCTTATGTTAACTGAGAGCTGAGTTGATGAGATAACCACCGGTCAAGTGACATTGCAGGGCAGTCTAATCCCTCCTGTAAACTAGTACAGATAAGCTTTAAGACATTTTGCAGATCTGCAATTCGACTAAAAAAACATAATTCTGAAAATGGGGAGGGGGCATGTTGAGGGCTCGATAGGGCCAATGTCCCCTTGCCGCCCCCTTGGTGCTGCCACTTCAATTTTGTTCATTTAGGGAAGCTTTCGTAATTGAGTGTGTAAGGCTAAACAATTATCATAACCATCAAGACCTAAAATTACGTGGCAGAGAGATAACAAAAATGAAAGAATGGATATTTCAATATAGTAACATAGCATGTCAGAAAATACACAATGAAATGTGTGATCTTTCCATGTTGTCACGCTGTCAAAACTCGCAAAACTTTTTCTAATATGGAACCATTTCTCTTTAAGTTTTGTTTGATATTATGCAAGTTTCCATTTCATATTAACATTATTTTAAGAGCTGATAAAACGTTGTCAAATGAAGGTAGGCCTAATCGATTTTGTGATTTAGCAGAGAATATTTCTCGTCTTATGAAATTTGATACCCGCGTATCCAAAGAATTTGTATAGAATACTGAAATGAAGCGTGAATCTAAAATAATACCACAGTCTTCGTTTTGAATATTGGTAATATGACTTTCAGATTTTAAAAAACCCTGCCCCCCCCCCCTCCCGTTACCTCGGCGCCACCACAATAGAAAGCCTATATTTTTTTGCGCTGTTTTCTCATTCCACTTGAAATCAAATCCACGCCATTTGTATTAAAGAATACTGACATGAACACAATGCATGTAACCAGAGGCGTACGCAGGATTTTTTCAAGGGGGGGGGGGGGGGTTAAAATCGGGCCCAAAATATATTGCTCCCAAAAATTTGAAAATCGCGCCGGCCGAAAAGTCGCTCAGTGGGGGGGGGGGTATTAAAAAAAAACCAAAGGGGGGGGGGGTTAGGTTTTTTTTAGGGGGGTTTACACACATAAAAATACCAAAAGGGGGGTTTAACCCCCAACCCCCCAACCCCCCCCCCCCCCCTGCGTACGCCCCTGCATGTAGCGCATCTTCTGAGTAATATGAAAGTCTTTGTTAATACACTCAAACTTTCATAACAGTCTGATCGATATCAGATATGCCGCTCTGTAGCGAAACCTCATCGATGAAGAAAGTATATATATCCTATTCAGTCTCCCAATGTGTTATCAAAATAAGTACACATGACTCCGAATAACGACTTTTCTTCATCACCATCATCATCTTTTTCATCTTTTTTATTTTCTTCTTCTTCATCTTCACCTTCTTTTTTTTTTCCTCCTCCTTCTTTTTCCTTGCTCTCCTTCTTCTTCTTCCTCCTCTTCTTTTCTTCTTCTTCTTCCCGGTTTTAAATGGAATGAACGTATTTCACCATCGTTCAAACACCTCCTTAAAAGGCCTAAATAAGTCTACTTTGGAAGTGGTTTCTTGAAATTGCTTAAATGAGGAGAATTTACTATATTCCCTTTCCTTGTATTTTGCTCTTTGTTTGTCTGTTTTGATTCGTTTTGCTTTGTTTTGTTTGTTTCTATATTTTATACATAGAGGTTCATAATTGTTTCCTTTTTGGGGTTGCATTATAGGGGTAATGTTGAATGTAACTCTATATATATAGAAAGGTGGATATTCAGCAAGTTCCTGTTTATCTAAAAAAAAGAGGAGGGGATATTAACTCGTGAGTAATTAGGTAGGCCTAATTATGTTAAAAAATATTTTTAAAAAGGTGGGGGGGATTACGTGCATCTTTCTAAGAAGCAAACCTTCGAACGAGGTCGTTTCTTGTAAATTAAAAGCTTCCCATGTGTGTGCACTGTGCAGCAATAATATTGAATTAATTGAAAATTTTGAGGACATATGCCATTCTGTAAAAATAATTACTTTTCATAAACACCATTCATTTTATTTTAAATTGTTTGCATTTCATGAGGTACAAGTGATTACCATAGCAACGGAGAATGCAATCATTATCTAGACCACCGGAGCGTTTTCTAGAATGAAAAATGAAGCTCGCTATGGCACATTAATGTTTACAAGTCCTAGTTTATTTCGGGGAAATAGGCTTATGTTATTTTGTATGTTAATGATGTGTTTTGTAATATTTCGAATGAATCATTAAGTAAATCACCGGTGGCAGATACCCATTGCTATAGTTGTCATTATTATACTTCTATCTCATCTGACACACTTTCTTTAGTCTTTACTAATCTACTGATTAATTAATTTATTCATTTATTTATCAACTTAATGAGGTCACTCATAATTTAGTTTCAATCATATTATTTCTGTTCCATATCAGAAATATCTGAACATTTTCTCGTCCATATTCGTGTTGTCTTTTATGTGTAAGATGTAATAAGATTGCGGTCTAAATTTAGCAGATGTTCAATTTCAAATGTTCGTGCGACTGGTTACCTTTTTATTTATGTTGGTAATTTTTGCGAAATCAGATCATTTGAATTGCTTCGAACAATATTATTAACAATTGTGTATGCCTGTAATCAGTGACGTAAGGTGGTTCTACAAAACAACTAGATTGAAAGCATAGACCGACCGGTAACCACCCCCCCCCCCTTCCCCCTCCTCCCATGGTTGAGGGAAATTTATCTTCCTCTCCTATTCCGTTTCCCTCTCCCATTCTTCCTCAGGCCCTGGGAGATCTCTCTCTCTCTCTCTCTTTCCCCCTCTCATTCTGTTTTTTTCCTTTCTATGTATCTCTCTCTCTCTCTCTCTCTCTCTTTCTCTCTCAGACTTTCGCTGTATCTCTCTCTCTCTCTCTCTCTCTCTCCTTCTCGCGCTCTCTCTCTATCTCTCTCTCAAACTTTCGCTCTCTCTCTCTCGCACTCCCTCCCTATCTTTCCTTCCCCTCTCACCCTTCTCATCTAATCTTCTTTCTCCCCTCTCTCCCTCTTTTAACACCTCTCTCTCTCTCTCTCTTTCTCTTTCTGATTCACTGTATCATCATTCTTCAAAGTACATTGACTTTCCATCATTGGCCTTCTCTGTTTTAGAATCCTCCCCTGGATCCTGTTTATTGCAATGGAAGGCCAAATCCTGACTAATATATATATCTGTGCATTATTTGCCCCCAAAGAAAACCTGCATGCCCAGATAACATCACAATAACATCACTGATTACATCAATCCCACGAGAAAGTCAAGAACACCTACTGATCCATCTGTACACGCTCTATCCCTTCGTTCAGACTACAAGATTTCATGTTATAGCTATATACTAGTCTCGTACAGCTATACGATATATTTTTTAAAAAATGTTTCCTAGTCTGAACGCCGTATAAAGAAGCGTCGTGTAAAGAAACGTCGTATTAACGGAACGTCGTATAGGAAACGTCTGCTGTTTGAGCATCGTTTCGAACAAAAACTCGATAAAGAAACAAGTTCCCGCTATATAGTCTGAACCTATTATGTGGAGGTGTCGTGGTCTAGTAGATCGCACGGTTCGCGGCTCGAGTCCCGCCGCGGTACCGATTTCCTTTGGCAATACATTAATCTACAGTTGCCACGCTCCACCCAAGTGAGGTAAATGGGTACCTGGCAATAAGTAATTCCTTGAAATGCCATAATGGCATAATGGCAGCCATGCATGCTAAAGCCAGGGTGATCATGATGAGTGTCAAAGCTGACAGACATGAGCGCTCTATACAAGAACCCACTTGGTACGAAAATCGTATAACTGGGCGGGGCTTATTGTGCGCGCATACTGGTGATTGGCCAGCTGTCATCTCAATTGACCTCTCCAAAATCAGTTCTTTATACGACGTTTCTCCATTCCTTTTACGATGTCTTGTAATGTACTATGATTATTTATACGACGTTTCTCCATTCCTTTTACGATGTCTTGTAATTCTTTATACGACGTTTCTCCATTCCTTTTACGATGTCTTGTAATGTACTATGATTCTTTATACGACGTTTCTCCATTCCTTTTACGATGTCTTGTAATGTACTATGATTCTTTATACGACGTTTCTCTGTACAGTATGAACATGTTGCTAATCTTTCGTTCTCTTTCTTATATTTTATTAAAGTTCTGCAGGTCAACCAGTAAATGTTAGCCACTTTCGATCCATATCGCATCTCCAAGGTATTGTCTTCAGAAGAAAGATAGTCATCATACTCTACCGTTTCCGTGAACGGAGTCTCATTAGAGAACCACTGTCAAGGCTAGACGTCACAAAAACTGATTCGTGCACCGTTTTTGTTGTTGTCTTGCCTGTTCAATTTCGTGCAGACATAATTATAACTGGAAGGAGCTTTGTCGTACATAGCGGGTTGGGTAATTGCTCTCAAACGAATCACATTTTATTTTCAACAAGTAGGAGAAAGTGGACTCAACATCTAAAAATATAGCTCATTTAAGTGGTGCGACGGTATTGCAGACTGAATCAAATTGGTTCGACAATGCACTTCGGTGTCTCGCATTCGAGAATTTGAACGAACATTTTGACATTATGCGTGTGCAATTAGGCTATCACTGGTGATTTCCTGTTTTCTCATATTCCATTAAAATCGAGGAGCAGCATTCGACAGTTTGGTGCAGTAACATAGTTTTCGGTGGTTTATTTTTTAGATAGAAAAGAATGCATTAATGATATTTCACGCCCAATGAAAACTGACATGGGAATACTTGCGGAGAAGTAGAAACCAAACACTATAAATAAAACATTTCCTACGATACAATTTCATTAAAATTATCGTCAGACTCTGCTTTAATCGAATGTGGACGCGCATGTTAGAAAAATGGCCGCGTCGCACTTCATGGAGTCACATCTTCAAAATGAGACTATCGACATGACTACAACGCTGTCTCCTGATGGAGAAAGCACTGCCGCGAATGTGGATGGCCTAGGGTGGTCGGTGAGTCGCATTGAGAACAGCTCGCTGGCACGAACCATCTACGGCCTTATCGCCCTGATAGGAATGAGCGGCAACGCGCTTGTCTGCTTCGTCCTCTTGCGCGTCCCGTCGTTGCGCACGCGCACAAGCCAATTCATCATCCATCTTGCAGTGACCGATTTCATTACGTCATTTTGGGTGATACCGTTCCACCTGTTCCCGTTCACGCCGCCTATCCCTCGGGGGTTCGCTGGCGAGCTCATGTGCCGGTTCTACGTCTCCAAGTACTTAATGTGGGTCTCCATTTTCGCCTCCGTCTACAGTCTCGTTTCCATCACTCTCGAGCGCTACTTCGCCATTGTGCACCCCATCAAGTACAAGACGACGTTCTCTCTCAAGTACTCCATCGTCATCATGATCGGATGCTGGCTGGTGGGGGCGATCTCGAACTCGTTCTTCTTCTACGTCTACGACTACGAGGATGGGACATGCCTGTTCCTGCCTTACCCAACATTGTATCTTCAAAAGGTTTGTTAGATATTACCATTATTGTCAATGCTCTCTCTCTCTCTCTCTCTCTCTCTCTCTTTCTCTCTCTCTCACACACACACACACACACACACACATAATATGTGTGTATACATATATATATATATATATATATATATATATATATATACACACACACACACGCTAACATACACACACCCGCCCACTCAACAGGCACACAAACTGTCACCTTCTCACATTATATTACACTTTCTAATTTTTTCACTCCATTATTCTTTATTTATATATCTCTCACACGCACACTATCACCTCTCTCCTGTCCCCCCCCCCCCCCTCCTCAACTCTTCTTTTCTCTCAAATGACATTGTTTGCAATTCGATTTCTATTAATTATGGAATGGTTCCAAGTCCGCTTCAATATTCGGTCACGAAACACTGAAACACTGGACCGACTACTTAATTGAATTTATGTAATAATTACATTCCACTATTTTTGTTTTACTCTTCATCCACTAATGGCATTCTCAATGCTCTTTCTACATTCGGAAGAAATATATCAATCGTACTGTAACAGGTATGCAGCTAATTATACCAGAGGTGTACAGGGTAACAATTCTCGGTAAGAAACATTATTCGCCAAGTGCATTATTTAATTATAACTCCATATGACCACATTATGGTTATGAAACCATGGACGGTTCAAGGGAATAACGGTGTAGGGAGGTTGCCTTTAAAAAAAAATGTGTTTTGCGGTTTAAATTTACCCCTTCTCTCTCTCTCTCTCTCTCTTTCTCTCTTTCCTGTTTTCCCCTCTCTCTCGGCCATTTTCTCTTTCTATTACTCTTATTCTTTCAACACCCCCCCCCCCTCTTTATTTGGGACCCATGAAATTTCTCCTATTCCTTATATTCGTCCGTGATATGAATAATGGAAGTAATTTAATTATATTTCTGAACTAATTTCGAGCGACCGAATACCTCGATATTTGTTTCGCAGAATTCAATTTTGTCTGCATTCCACTGAAGAATTTTTTTTTTATTCTGAAAATCAATTTCTATCTAAGGCTCTGAGGTATTATTATTAACTTGAAATAATCGTATCAGAAATGCTTGCAAAACAATTTTATTGCTTGTTATTACTCCCTGTCAAGTACACTCAGTATCTTCACACGAGTTTGAAATAATTAGACTTATTTCCAATGCGATCTAGTTACTCTTTCTCCTATTAACTCTCATTTATTAGTCATTATATAGATAACGAAATCAATCTATTCTTTGATTAGTAATAATATACAACTATATACATATTAAGCTGAGTCACTGAGAATAATTGTACTTGTCTTCATCGATTATCAATTGCACTAATGTTTAAACAAAAGTGTGGGGTTTGTGTATTTATGATTTCTTCCCGTTTTTTTTTGGGGGGGGGGGGGGGTGGGAAGAAAAGAAAGAATCTTAAAAAAATTATTCTCCGCCTCATGAATATAATTTCGGGAATCACATAAAAATGGATTAATTCGAAATATAAAATTTCAAACTTATTCTTTCAATTTTGAGAGGCGACGCAATACCCAAATATTTTAAATAAATCGTCTGAGAATACGAAGTTATTGACGAGATTGTTTATTAATCATTTAAACTCCAATCAGAAATCGGTTATTCCGATAATTTTACTTATTAATCAATGCAATATATGCGATTCAAAATACGCCATGTTACATCAAATTAAGATTGAGAAAGAAAGATATTTTAGAGATCTATTCAATAACTATAACATGTAATTAATAATGTATTTGTTTGTATCCATCTTCTTCTCTCTCTCTCTCTCTCTCTCTCTCTTTGTCCCTATCTCTCTCTCTCTCTCCTCCCCTAATATAACTATTTTTCTCTCTCCTTCCAATCTCTCCTTTACATTCCATCTCTCTCTCTACCTACCTCTCTCCCATCTTTCTCTCTCTCCTCCCCTCTCTCAAACCCACACCCTTCGATCCCTCTCCCCCTCTCTGTCTCTCTTTACCTCTACCCATCTCTCTCTCTCTCTCTTTCTTTTCTCTTTTCTCTATCGCAGGTGATAGGGGTGTATATCTTCTCGTTGATCTACTTCATTCCCATCACATTGAACCTCGTATGCCACGCCCGGATGGTGCAAACCCTGAAAAAGCAAGCAAAGCTCCTCGAGGGAAATAGGTTTCAAGGTATTTGAAATAAAGATTCCCAAAAACACGATCGCAGAGACTTCCAAGAAATTCACTCAAGGACAATTTCAATTTCAATGTCGGGCGTTCCCCAAGGCACAGTGTTTGGACCTTTTCTCTTTCTAATCTATGTAAACGACCTATAATCATGTAAACCCCATAGTGGTCATGACTTGTGTGAATTGCTTTTTGCATGTATTATCATGTTGGTGTTCTCAGATTTCAAAAGAGAAACGACGAGGCTTTGTTGAAACTGCCTTCAGTTGATTTGTTAAAAGTCTCTGCAATCGTGTTCAAATGATTTTGATTCTGTTTTTCTTCACACACTAAAGTAATGAAATATTGACAAATTGGTTTATAAGTTAGAAGATGATTGTAAAAGTAGAAGATTTCGTCAAAAGATAAAAATTCTGGGTGATAATTTCAACTACTCACTGCCTTTTTTATCCATATGCATTGCCGACAACTCTCTCTAACACAAAAATCAATCACCACCACTACTATCATCGTCATCATTTTTATCATAGTAATCATTATCATCATCATTATCGTCACCATCATCATTATCACCATCACCATTACGTCTACCATCTTCATCATCATCATCATCATCATCATTATTTCTTATATTATATAATATAGGTAACGAAGGCAATCGCAAAAAGCAGAAGGAAGCTTGGCAGCTCAAGATCGTTCAGGACGTCCAGCGGATGCTTCTCGTCGTCGTCATCACTTTCATGATCTGCTGGGCTCCAAATCAGTTCATCTTCTTGGCCTTCAACCTCGGTGCCAACGTCGACTTCACCTCCTGGTACTACCACTTCTCCGTGATCCTCGCCGTCTGCAACTCGTGCGTCAATCCATTCATCTACGTGTTTAGGAACCGGGAGTTCAGGCACGGCGTCGCGAAGGCAATTGGTTGTGACAGAGCGGTGCGACGATTTGCCAACCGGGTCCGACCGGTGGATCCAGGAGTGGAGTCCGGTACAGCTGCAGGAGGCACGGACAATCCTACAACGGGGACTATGGGGAGCACTCGAGTAGCATTTGACAATTGAACAGAAACATCAAATTGAATTTCCTTTAATTACAAGACATTAATATTAATTTATAAAGTAACAACTTGAAGGTCCATAACCGTATGGATAAGAAATTATTATCACAAAGGACAGGGCTATGCAATTATGCCTAAGAGACATTGTCTTTTTATTCAAAATTCCCTGTAGAAGCTTTTCAAACAACAATGTATATTGTTAAAATGTACTGTATAATTTAGACTAAACATTTTAACTGAGTAATAGTAGTACGGGTTCAAACCCGTCTCCCGGCATTGTGAAACGGCCATCAGTTTTGCCAGAATATGCTAGAATAAATTTCCTTGATAATAAACATGTGCTCAGCTGAATCTAGGTAAAAACAACCTTTATCATTTAAAGGACAAGTCCACTCCAAAAATAATTTACTTTCAAAAGAAGCGGAAAAATCAAACAAACCAATCTATAAAAAAGTTTGAGTAAAATCGGATAACTAATAAGAAAAACCTTGAAAATTACTGTGACGTCATTGCCCCATTATCAAGCCAGTTCACGGTTGCAGTCTGAGCATTAGGAGATAAAGGTCATTGCAGAACAAATTGTGAAATACATGGAGACGAAATACTGGATACGTGCTCATGAAAGTTATGTTATCATTATTCATTCATGCACAAGCAGTGCACTCCATCATACACAGGTGGAAGTATTCTTTGGGGGAAACAAAGACTATTAATGTAGCACCTCCATCACTGTAGGAGTGATTACTTCAAAATGTACAAAGTGGGACCTCTTTATGTTTTGAAGATCTGTGGATATTCGGGGTCATTGCAGCCATGTGCTAACCGTGAACTGGTCTATTTTTAATAATATATATTGATAATATAAATGTCCAATTTCCCCCAAGAAATTTTATTTCCTTCCTCACACCAGCATCAAAATTATATTGAAAGTTATGTATATGATTGTTTTTTTCAGCTAAATCTTGGAAAATATACAATATTTAGAAGAAAAAGTATCAATATTCTTCAAAGTTCATACAGGATTTTGTGAAATGCCATGCACTCAATATGATACAATTCATATGACAGCTAAGGCTAGGGGAAACCAAGTTTTTGAGGATAGAAAGGGAAATTAATGGGATAAAATATACAAAGCAATTGATAAATAGTGAGGCAATGACGTCACAAACTGATAACCAAATTGGCAATTTTGTGTAGTGATTTCCATTGTTCCATAGTTTTACATACTTTTTCAAAAAGTCATAACTTTCTTATCAGTTATCCGACTTTGCTCAAACCTTCTTTGCTTGGTTTGTCTGATTTTTCTGCTTCTATTGAAAATAAGTTATTTTGGGAGTGGACTTACCCTTTAACTGAGTAATAGTAATACTGGTTCAAACCCATCTCCCGGCAATGTAAAACGGCAATCAGCAGGACATTTAGCTACTTTTGCCAGAATTTGCTTGAATAAAATGTTCTTCATATTAAACATGTGCTCAGCTGAATCCAGGTTAAAACAACTTTTATCATTTTAAACTTCACGAACGTGAAGACAACCCTCCAGAAATCAAATCTGATCTTGGCAACACAAAATGACAGTCAAACCACCGCCAACAAAAGTAATTTTATTTTTTAAAGATGTGTTTTCTTGTCTTCGTTAATGGCCTTCATGATAAAGATTCATTGCATAAAATGAACTTTGAAAAGGAAATGGTCAAGCAACAACAAATATGAAATAAGAGTGTGCGTGACTATACGTATATCATAATCAATAAAAAGCCACAATCCTGACACGTTATATTTGTATTGATTCTTTTCTCTCGATTGCTTAGAAACTTTACGTGTCTCATTTTCTCTTTGTCGTTATATTCTTTCATTATTTGTTGCAAATCAAAAGACCTGGTGAAATATTTTTGTATTCCGCCGCTTGTTCCCGTGTACCACTTATGTGAATGATGCACAATATCTCTCTCTCTCTCTCTCTCTCTCTCTCTCTCTTTTTCTCTCCCTCTCTCTCTCTCTCTCTCTCTCTTTCTATCTATTTCTCTCTCTCACCCACACACACATACACCCCTCTCTCTCTCTCTCTCTCTCTCATTGATCATGCTGATGCGGGGTTTCAAGAAAGCGCGGTGGAGTGAAGATGATGATAATGGATGAACAGTGTCTTCTTTGATCTCCAGGCTCGAGCTCCGTCGTCGATTTATCGATTGGATCTTTTCTTGAAGGACTTCTCGTATCATCTGATAATGATTCTAGAAAAATTTGAAGGATGTAGAAACGTAGGTCGTGGTTCACTCCATCATCAAATCTATCACCCTAGGGTTATAGACGAAGGGGACGCGCAGGATCGAGGATGGGGCTGAGGGGTTCAGATTATCAACAATCGGGCAACCGCCACCTCATAATCGGGCAGCTACCACCCTCTTCTTCGGGTAGGGTGGGGATCTTGTTTTATTACATTGTGATGACAACAAAATCATTGTCACTCTTATAAGTTGTCAAAATTGTCGCTCGCTAAGTCGAGAAACTGACAAATTCATATTCGGGGCAGGAGACATCAGAGGTAGAATTGGCGCTGGCAGGGGGTGGGGTGCACTCTTGGCCAGAGCTTCTTTCTTAAACAGAAGAAAACGTGCCGTTAAAACCGTTGAAATATGTGATTGTATCCCCTTCTCATTTGAGGCTCCTAATTTAAGTAATTAAAATTCAGTAAATTAACACCCCAAGACATGATTTACTATTGTTTTGTTCTAGTCATAAATTTGTCGGAATTGTAACCCCTTCCCTTTTACAAAACCCTTAATTCGCCCCTGAAAAGTGTAGGTCGCATTATTAAACTCTACCTTGCATGCCATGTCTATTTTTTTTTCTTCTTTTATAATAAGAGACTGTTTTTATTTCATTTTCTCTAAAGAAAACAAAGGTTATTTCAAGTCATGATTTAATGACGTCTCCGTCATGCAATGATGCAAGGAATTTTTCTTTTAATTTTACATTGTGCTGAGTCTAACATAGTGTCAGGTGACGTGCGTTATGAGCAAACTATGAGAAAATTACTGTAACAACTGGAGCAGGAGCAAGTCAATTATATGAATAATTAAATACTTTCTCAAGCAATTATCACGATTTTTAAGGCAGCAAACATTAACGATTGATAATGTAAACGGAAGTGGCTGTAACTATAATGCATGAAGATTGTTACTTTGTATATTTTAAGGGGAGTAGCAAGTCAACGGCAGAAAAGGAAAGTTACGAGAAATTTAGAACTCTTTTTATTCCAGTGTTTCTTTCTTCCCACTGGCTGATACCATACAGTATAAAACGAAAATAATGCTCCCGAGTTCAGAGAAATGTTTTGTTTACTGTGTGAGAAGGGGAGAAAAGGGAAGAGAGGGCGAGAGAGGAGGGGGGAGGAGGGGAGAGATTGCATTGGGAGGAAAGAGAAGGGGGTGAGGGAAGGGGAAACAAGAAGGGGAGAGGGACCTCAGAGAGACTGACATACATACACATAGAGAGGGGCCGACAGACAGACATTGCAGACGGAGACAGAAAAGGACGGGGAGAAAATGGGGATACAGGGAGAGAGAAAACAAAGTAGAGGCCATTACAAATATCTCATCATGATGATACTGAGTATCTATTACCAAATTAAAAGTATAATACCCTAGAGCGCTTTAACAAAATATATATATATATATATATATATATATATATATCGTTCAATCCATTTGCTAAATGAATAACATGCAGTCATTCGAAAACTTAACACTCGGGGTTTTCCAAAAGTTACAAACTGATTACAACATAATCATGATAATGAACAAATTATTATACATGTATATTACTGACATACAGTGCGTATCAACAAAAGTTTACGAAACTTTGGTTGCTTCTAATTAAAAAATTATAATCTGTGTGACCTTGAATCCTTATTAAATTGTAATGAAGAAATAAAAATACCCTGTCTAATTATACCATTTTTATAATTGTGCTGCCAAGGATGACTGAACAGCAGGCTTCTCAAAATAGTATTGTCAAAATCTTCTTGTACCAAGTTTGGGCTGAAGCAATGAATGTAGGTGAACAGCCATGATTATGTCTGTGTTATCTCGTTCCAAAACAATTGCTCCTTTATTTACATTGATTATTTGGCAGTAGAAAACTCAAACTCAAACTTAAAGGGTCGGTTCCCCGTATTCCAGAGGGCGCTCAAAATACGTACGCGCTGGCGGACGGCGCTATAGCTGCCTATTGACACCAACAGAATACGGCTCTTACGTAGATGGCATGTTCCGATAATTACACTGGCGGGAACGTGCCCCTTTAAAGAAATGCTTGTTACAAGCAAAATTTATGATGTTCTCTTCGTTACGATGATTACAATAATCATTCTGCCTTCATTAGACAGAAAATAAATTACTCTTCATCATGAAAGCAATTTCAAAGTCATTTTAGTTATGAGTTTTAAATTAGGATCTACCAAAGTTTGGTAATCTTGTTATTGATACGCCCTGTATATATTTATTGCAGAAGGAGATTGTCTGTGCATAAGCAAGGAGAATAGGAGGTATTGCCCGCTGTAAGATACGTTTAGAAGTACATAGATAAAGATGAAATGACGATAGAAAGTAAATAAGTGAAATTCAAAAGGGATTTAATATTCCTTTTTCCTGGAGCTCAACATAAGTATACGTTGGTTTCCCCTTAGGTGGCAAAACAATAGAATATGAATATAAAGGTAATACACGATATAAGGAATACACGAAATATGAGATGGCGAGTGGTGTTTCCTGATGTAAAAGTCGGCATAATTGGAAGAAGAATCAGCATAATTATGAATCAAAACGAGAAACGAGTAGGAAAATAATTTGATTAGTCGAGTTCACATCTTATTCACCACTCACAATTTCACAGTGACGAGTGCGTTTAATTCAGAAATGGCGAAATCGATTACAAGCGAGTTTCAATCGAGAGCGCCGTGTAATGCACTAATCAAGAACTCATAAAATCAGTCCATGCGTTGTACGTCCTGTTTTAATTCGATTACATTCCTTGACAACGCACAATACAATACAAGAGCAGGGGCGGCGGAGCGTCTTGCAAAGTGGGGGTGTACCAACAAAAAAGGGCACTTGCTGGAGGGAAGGGGGCACCTAACAAAGGATAATCTCAAAGCGAGAATCATAGGTAAATACCCCTACATTATTGATGAGGTGATGACCCGGGATGAGGGTGATGATCTTGGACGAGGCTTTTGAAATTGCCTTTCATTGATTTGTATAAAGTTTTTGCGATCGTGTTATCAATTTTTTTTAAAGAGCTATATACGATAAAAACGTACTGATGATATTTCGCCATGATTTATAGGCAAATTAAACTGCCAAGTTGTTGACTGTTGTCTACATCATTAAGAAAGCACCGTTTTGTTTGGGTTTTTTTTTCTGAGACCAAAAACATAGTTTTTTTAAATGTGATAATAAACTTCAAATACAAATATGGTAAATACTTCATTTTAGCTACAAAATAATCCGTTCTTCAAAGTCGACGGTATTAGTCTTACTTGAAGGTAGTTATTGACCTGATAATCAATGAACTATTGACCTGCATATGCCTTTGGGCATACTGTGGATACATTAAGTATACTCGAAATTATATCATAGGATATCACAGCCAGGGATATGTCAAAATCTTACGTACAAGCGTGCAGCAGAGTGACAAAAAGAAGAACCTTTTTTCCATCTGAATAATAATAATAATATCGACGTATAGGTCACTAACAGTCACTCGTACCACAACTCCATGCTCGTACACACAATAGACATTCAAAAGAAAAGCTTTTAGAAGCCCTCACACCGTTCGCGTCAACATCATTTTCGAAGTGCAGATGTAAATGTAGGTCCATCCGCTTTCTGCCCAACCTTCAAATACAAAGAGATGCATGTTTAAATGGTCAGTCGATCAAACACGGTAATTTCTTATCAATGAAATAAAAATGCAATCAAGATTGACCCAGTTCATTGTATAGCATTATGAGAGTTTTTTTATATTCTTCTTCTTCTTCTTCTTTTCATAGCAAGCCAAGATTTTTTTCAAGAATTATCTTTGAGCGAAAACCTTGAATTTTAGTTCCTATACTATCAAACCGTTGTTCCCTCAGATAGGGGAGCGGATATAATTCATCTTGTGAATTATTAGACTCAGTTCAGTCGCCATCAAAGTCGCACCTAAAATGAACCTATCAGAACTGATCTATATTAATTCATGCTTGTTATGCTTCTTGTGCTTGAGCTATAACCAGGGACGTGGTAAAGAAGGACTGGAATCAAGTCACTCTCCTTTGACCCCATGCTCCAGGCCGCCGAAAAGTTATGCGCTTATCTGCAACTGTTGACCAGGTGGTGAGATAAAAGAGCGTATGAAAACTCAGGATTTAGAATTCCTACATCAGAAAATGGTATCACAGCAACTGTTCGCTGTCCCTTTCAATGATTTCTCATCCATTGTTGATTGTGTAAAGAATAGAACAAGCGAACACAAACTTGTGTAATTTCATCCCTTTTTTACCTTGAAAATACAGAAAACTTGAACACGCAAAAAGACGCATTAGCAAACTTAATGTTATTGAAGATTGTAAACCATGGATCAAAATATAACAGAACATTAAAGCATGCACAAATTAGCGCATTATCCTAAAATATTGAGTTTTTGTCAGCATGTAATTTTTCTTTTACCAACTCTGGCACACAAATTTGTGTGAACTATAGTTCTAAATTTGAAAAATTGTTTGGTGCACTATTCTTAATACAATCCCCATATAAAGTTTTTGATTTACACTGAAATTTTGCCGGTAATTTAATATTTTGTCATAAATGTAAAACTGGTGCCTGGCTTCCGAAAGTCCCCGCAGTGGAAGCGTGGAATGTTACACATCCCGTTGTTACGCTTTATAACTCACGAATGCGTTTGAATAAATTTCAAGAGTTTCGCCTCCTTTCTTTCACCTCCCTGCTATAACCTTACAATCCCGTGGCAAATTGCGTCCAAAGTTCGACTTGTTTTACATGTGTTATATAGGCAATGGCGAGCTAGCGACCTATTTTGACCAAATTACGGTGGGTGAACTTTCAAAAGTCAATGGGACATGAAGATTCCAATGAAAGAGCTAGTGTCAACGTACGTCGGGGTGGATGTGCTTTTCGTTTAGCGCCCCAAGCCCCGGACCGCTACTGCTAGGATGTGAATGCATTTTTTGTTAGGTCAACATTATGTAAGATGGGTGTTTAAACGGATAAGGGCAAACAAAAGAAAGAGTTAATAAGTCATAGTGAGGGCTAACATAATTTATTGCGATTTATATTTTTGAAAAGTGATAGTACAAGTTGTCCCTCCCGGCAAAGATCCCTAGTCCCACAATATAATAAGGCAGTCGACAAGCGTTTTTTAAGAATTAAGTTGTCGCATTGATGCCAGAAAAAAATGAAATGATGACAACTCGTCGTATTAATGGCCTTTAATCTTTGAAATGCATTATAACGTATACTTAATTGAAAGCAATGCCATATAATTAAGGTTCGTTTATTTTGCCAACCTTATGTTTCCTATTTGAGAAGGTTATCCTGTTTTTAGGCCTATAGGATTGTATTATGTGTATACACCCAAGTCAATTTGCATATATTTTGGAGGCCTAAAAATAGGTAGAAATTAAAAAGTCTGATGTTGCTTGTTTAAAAAAATACATTTTGACAACTTTAAAATTGTAACTAAATAAAAACAAAGAACAACAATGTAAATATGCAGTTAAAAGCTTAGAAAAAGAACAGGTGGATCATGGTTGTGATAGAATCATAACCCCCCCCCCCCCTCCCCCATCTAAAAAATGAAGAAATACACGTCAATGTAGATATGGTCGCTATCTTGCTCCTCATCCGAGATATTTCATCAACACCCACCATGATCAGTTTTGTGAAGTCGCCATCTACGTTTTATTTTGTTTACGCGATGATTCATTTCGCTGAACCTATTTTTCAAAGCCCGTCTCGACTTGCTCCCAGCTGTTCAAACAAACCAGCCAGGCAATGACGGCTTGCGCGCAGAGCAGCGGGAGCCCCTCGCTCACAGACTGCTCAGCCAGCGGAACGGCGAATTGCTCCCCAATGAATGAGGATCAAAACAAGATGGATGAGGACGATGTCGTCGTGTGGGAATGGTTCTCCGACCACGGGCGATGGCGGGCTTATGATCCTTCCGTGGTGGTCGAATTAGAAGCAGCACACGGCAGACAGGCAACACTAGCACTAGGGAACGTTGACCCGGCGTTGTCGTCGTATGAAATAGATTTTACAGCCATGCAACAGTACCGGACGACTTCGGGTTAGTGAACCATTTCTTTCTTTTGTTTTCTTTGAGTTTGTTGTTCTTGTTCAGGTTAGTGTTTATTTTAGGTCATATGAAAATATGAGTGCGTACCTGGGTTTTGTGCTGTCTTTGTTCAATTTTCTACAACCTCGAAGTGTGTTTATGACAGACAAACCTTTATTATGTTAGTCAATTGATTGTCAATTGTTACGTGTTACTGTTACTGTTGACTGTTGTAAACTTTAGTGTTACTGTTCGATGATACAATACAACCGTTAAAACAATACTCAATTAGACTATAGAGTAAAGTAGCCCGTTTTCGGCCACTTAAGACAAAATCCTATTTTTAGGACTCTTTACTTCCTATTTATTATCATTTCTTGTTCAAATCATGAAGCAAATATTATTATTATTTACACAAAAAAAGAATCCCAGAAAAAAATCACGAATTGCCATGACAATATCCATTTCAATTTTCACTGTTTTGGAGCCCGTTATCGGCCGAGCGTTTCAGTTTACGGCCGCATGTACAAAGTCAATAGGAAGCGCTCGCGCGCGCCGTGCGTTTCCGCGCTGATGTACAGCACAAGCGGGCGGAGCAGGTATCCCACGCCGGAGCTCCCTGGTGCTCGCCTGGCCGAAGACGGGCACAGCGGTGATCGGAAGTTGGAATCTGAATTAGATAGAGATATCGTGTGTGCGTCGCGGTGTGCGGCTGCATTGATTTAATACATGCGATGACATACTTTTGAGCTTGCGACTAGCACAAAATCGGGCTTTAAATCTGAAAAATACTTGAAATAAAGCTCATTTTATGGTACCCATATTTCTTACAGACACGCGTAAGATACTCGATTTTTCAGATTTGGGTAGCGGGACCGGCGATTACATCGCTAAAATGTGATATTTTAGGATATATTTTCCATTGCAAATGTGGTTCTTCAGTGACACTGGCATGGTATGGTATGTGTGGGATATGTGTTATGCTATTATGCGATGTATTTTAGAGTGATTTTACCTTGTATCCAACCAATCGGCCGAAAACGGGAGCTGGCCGATTACGGGCTCCTTTACTCTAGGCCCTAATAAAAGTAAAAGTAAAACTGAAGTGAAGGGATTGGTGATAGATTCTAATTAATAATGTGAAAATTTGTGCTACCATAATGATTGAGCTTTGCTTACCGTTGATTAGACCGAAAGCTTCAGTCTCTATAATCGTTGGTTGTTCCACTGAGACTACGTCTGGCTCCACTAGACCTCCGGTTATAGAGACTGAATGACCGCCTATGCCATCGTATGTTGAAGATATCACGGCTAGGCCCTAGGCTATAATACATCGGTTCCACTTACTTACTTGATCGAAATAATCCGTTTAATGGTCCCTTTTAAGGAAATAATGGGTCAAAATCGACATCCATGTTGAAAATCTTGCAAGCCGTGTTAAACTCTCGCTGCCGTCAATCTCATCCCTTCTAGTCTACGCCGAAGGCAAAATGATTATGAAGGAAAAACTGTGATAATGCCATTACGAACGTGTAGATGGCGCACAGTTTTTTCCTTCATAATCATTTTGCCTTCGGCGTAGACTAGAAGGGATGAGATTGACGGCAGCGAGAGTTTAACACGGCTTGCAAGATTTTCAACATGGATGTCGATTTTGACCCATAATTTCCTTAAAAGGGACCATTAAACGGATTATTTCAATCAAGTTAGTAAGTGGAATCGATGTATTATAGCCTAGGCCTAATTTAAAATTGGATATGCACAAGGTAAAATGACATTTTGGGGGATTTTGGGGGCATAACAATACGGCCGTGGCAAGTTTGTCATGTTTGTGGGAGGGGCCTAACGGCTAAAATCTAGCCGTGATATCTTCAACATACGATGGCATAGGCGGTCATTCAGTCTCTATAACCGGAGGTCTAGTGGAGCCAGACGTAGTCTCAGTGGAACAACCGAAGATTATAGAGACTAAAGCTTTCGGTCTAACCGTTGATGTGTTCTTGATAATAATTCATTACATTAGCAGATTAGCAAACATGCAATTTACTTCACAAAAACAAAAAACACTGACCTTAGTTTCACCAGGTTCATGCTGAAGTTAGCAATTTTAATTCCGCCGGAAAAGCAAATAGGTCTAGTCAAAATTTGCTGATTTTGCGTCGGCAATTGGTTAATAACGAAAGTAATAAGTTTAGTGTACTCGGTGTACTAAAGGTAGTTTACTGAGTTAATACTAATAGCGACACTCCAAGTGCGTGCAATATTATACTAATCGCTATGCTTGAGGCATGAGGTCAGACCACTGCTATTCATTAATTTCATACATGTATATAGAGAATTTCTCCACTTCAAATTTCAAATTTACCTCTTTCATACATTCTTTAAATATTCCCATCAGTCAGATAAACTTGAATTTGGTAGATCTTAAAGAGGCACTTGATTTGAATAACTAAGCCACGGTTTTTGCCGAGTCTGAGACCGAGATGGCCCTAAACTGAGCCTGGATCCAGTCATTGCTTGTAGTTGTACTGTAGATCTCTTTTATTCCTATTTATAGCAACTTCCCATTCTCTATTCATTGCAGCACGTACAATGACCAACAAGTGGGGATTAGAAGTTTTGAACAAATAATTTATGCATAACATACAAAACTTTTTACCTCTTCGGTGTCATTTCTGAAGGAGTCAAGGTCAGTGGCCTATTAGAGGAACAAAAGACAATGAACTCTGCAAAATTTGTTATAATACAAGGGCTGCTAATGGCTAAATTAAGGGCAATGTACTTCCTGTGCATAATAAATGATATCCTTGGTTTGACAAATCATAACAATCTATAGTTAATTTCATTCATCCTCTTCAACATTAGATTGAAACTTAACTGTCCATAAAAAGGTCTTACCTGTATGCAAATATTTCAAAATAAAATATAATTACTCAAAAAGGAATACCGTATTATTGTAGGCCTTAAATTTCAATATTTTTAGGGCAAGGCCACTTTTCTGTAGGGCACATTCCTATATTACAGCACAAATAGGAAGAATTGGAAAGGGCACAAAAAATCTGCAAGGCCAATGAAAGGGGCATTGAGGCCAATCAAGAGGGCATCCATGGCCTTGGTGGCCTTGGATTAATTTAAGCCCTGTTATTGTATAATGAACTATTAGTCCTGAAGGAAGTTTTGAAGTTTGGAAATAAATATTTTGTATTACATTTACAACATCTATAGATCTATGTTTTTGATAAATAAAGATGACTTGGACTACTAAGGTACTTACAATATCCATCAAAATAAACTACCGGTATACAATAGTAACGCAATAGTGCACCTTGAGTGCACTACAAAAGTTAGTGCAGTATAGGTGCACTAGGTGCACTTTATCTCAGCCCATCAAGGGCACTCGAGGTGCACTATTGCGTTACTATCGTATACCGGTAGTTTATTTTGATGGATACTGTACAGTACACTGTACATGATATGTACATGTAGCTCTTTAGGCAGGTATAAAAGTTAATATTTCATGATCCATCATATAGTGTATACTATACAGTGTACATTAGTTTCATTGCCAACATATGAATAATGATAGTCATTGAATAGGTTGTTATTGTTACCAAACACATTTTAAAAGTAAATAACACAACAATCAAAGCGTGCAGATTCCAAAACTGGTCCATTCACTGTCATAGAAATTCTTTTCTTCGAAAAACATTGTTCCTAAATTTGGACTTTGGAAGTGAGTTGGAGCTGGCCAATTCCTAACCAACTGCTTGAGCATAAAGTTCTAGATCCCTAGATGCATGGTCATTGTGTACAACCATCACTCAGGGCCAGTTGCTTAGGGCAATGAATAGTTGTGATGGCATAGTGCATACTGTGGCAGCTTAGAAGAACTTTGTGCCACCTAAACTGGCTCGAATTGAGTTGTACAGTGTAACTCAACCAAAGGGTGATTTGTTTACTTCACTGCAGAAAACTGTGCTGATCTCAGCACTCGAGGCCTATGAGATAACACTGATCTATTAATTATAAAAGCTTCCCATTTACAAAAACTGTAGTTAATAATAATAATAATAATATAACGCGCCGCAGCTTTTATACAAAATATATTCAGCTGCGCTGGTTAAGAGCTCCTTTTTACTAAATTCTACAAAATAAGATCTCTTAATTGAACAAATAAGTTTTTAAATTGGATTTGAAACATTGAGAGATGGAGTGCTTCGTACTTCTATTAGCAAGCTATTCCATAGTTTGGGGGCAGCCAGGCCCCCCAAGCTCCGCCATTTTGTCCGGATCCATTAGAAGCCAAAATAAGCTACCTTGCATAATTCATGAGCCTTATGAATTATGCATTCTGTAGGATGCTCCCCGCGAAAAGTGTACTGGAATGATGTTCACTACATGGTAAAAGACAATGCGCGTATCAGCGTAATAAGAGAGGTCAAATAATCTACTGTACGGATTTATGGGTAATTTATTCATCACGCTGCGCGCTAGCAACGCAAGTGATTCAGCGAATCAGCGTGGATTGTTCTGATACGATCACCGTTAGGTGAAATACGCGCTCGAACTTGTATTATCGATCACCAGTATAACAGCTGGTGTACCCAGGATGCATCGGGAAGTGGACCTTAAAGTTCCACTCGTTGTTGTGTTTTTTTTTGTTTTTTTAAGGTTTTAATGGCGTGTATAATTCATTTCTGAATATTTACGCCAACTAAGTAGCCTTTGAAAACATCATTACACCTCTACTTATTATTATTCCAGCATAAATTTTTCTGAAAATCTCTTTATTGTCCAAAAAATAATAATAACCATCCAGTTTCACAGATCTCAGGCTTGCTAAGCTCCACCCCTCATACCCAGGATGCATCGCGATATGGGGGAGTGGCCTTAACTTCATTGAATAAGAAATACTGTGTCGATCTATTCCCTTTTTAGTCTATCAATAACTGGGTCTGTTTTTGTTTATTAAATCAAACATGCTATAAGCCATATAACAACACATTCTCTGG